AATTTGTAATTCACCTAAAATATCTCTTCAGTGACATTGATTTCACTTTGATCTACAGACAAACGAACGGGATTTCCATGTCTCCTTTATCAGGCTGTGGGATGGTAAGCTTTAGTGTTTAAGTGAGTCCAGTTTAAATTTTCAGACTCTAATGTGTCGATGTCACCTTACAAATAAACAACAGCACTTTAAGCAACTTCACTGAAAAGCAATTTAGTGGAACTACAATGTTTATTTTACTGCTCTGTTTATTAAAACATCAGATTCAACATTTGCTGCAACATTCATCTGGCTTCATAGGACAGGCCTCTGTTGTTCGACTTTTGGGAGAAGAATGTTGTCTCATTCTTGTCTGATACACGATTCTAGCTGCTCTTCAGAGGCCTATACTACAAAATGGGTTCAACAGCGAGTTTGATTCATTTGTAAGTGACATATAGTTTTGAGACCAAGAAAACATTGCATTCTGATTTTATGTACACATCATCTAAACGTTCTTGAATTGGGGGTATGGCATGATTAAATTAATACACAAAGTAAAAAATAATATTAAAATGACAGATTTGTCTAAAATGCATAAAGACTATTTGAAAAGATTAAGACTGTAAAACAATAGCCTCTGTATTTCTCACAAATTCCTGTTAATTCAACTAAAAGTTCTTTAATCCCACTGCTAGGTAGATGGATTTCCGTATATATTCCGTATATATTTGTTTTTGTTTCCCTCTGTGTATTAAGACTGATGCTGTTGAAATCAGAAGAGAATGCATCCTCAAAGGTCTTTGCGTGTACCTGAATGAAGATCCTGAGAAGCTGAGAAAGGATTACCTGGTATGTTAATTTGCCTGTATCCTTAACTAAGGAGATGATCAAAGATAAGCTTGAACTACATACAAAACGTTTCAAGGGATGGGGTTTTCCTGTAAATTACCGGTGGCTGTAAAAAAGACCTTTTAAAATAGGAAAAGTAAGAGCTTTATTTTTCTCACTGGATACTACACGCACCATTCTTGAGTGTTTTATACTATCATTATTATAATATCATTATTATAATATCATTATAATAACCTCATTCATATACACATTCATACACACATTTTTATGCAACATTTACATGTCAATGGATGTATCAGGAGCAACTTGGGGTTCAGTATGTTACCCATTGATAGTTTCAGTGTCAGATTGGAGAAGCAAGGGATTAAACCAGTAGACAACTTGCTCTACCTCCTGTGCCACAGTCACCCCTATCACAACTCAAGATTTTGAAACACAGGACATTGTTGAGGTATTGAATGAACTTCTCTTGAGTCAGGAAAAATATCAGGCAGTCATTTTTTGATTACATTTACATTATTATAAAGCTTTTAGGTATTTTACATTAATGTAAAACAGATATGTACTTTTAAAACTGTTTGCAATGGACACTAGTGAAAAATCATTATCTTTTTTTTGTTTTGTTTTATTGTCACAGGAAGTTGATAAAAGCATCGCCACTGCCATAGCAGAGACAGTCTTTGGAATCTGTGTCTTTTGATCAGAGGGTGCGGAGCCTGGCAATGACCCTCACGATGTTATGATTGTTCTAGAGGGGGTGGAAGTGATGGGTGAGTTGGGGAGTGTAGCTTTTGCAGTGGCAATGTTGCTTGGTCTGGTCTATTCACTGAACCTGAGCTACCCTCTGGAACTCAGGTACACCTTTGAGGTCCTGCAGAAGATTCTTATGGAATTACATGCACACGAACTATCAAACAGCACACAAAGTACAGGTTCTCAAAACACTATTTTTTCGTTGAGAAATGTTGCCATTACAACAGCTACACCATGTATCTGGACCATGAACCTAAAATAATTGCAGATAGATGATGCCATGCATTTTTTATTCCTTTTGAGAAAACACAAAAATTGGTGCTCTTTGTTTTTTGAAAGTGCATCTGTTGACCTTCAAAGTAGTTGTATTGGTCATCAGAAAATCACCTGATTCAGGCATTCATTGTTTGTTTTAACAGGTTAACTTTCTGCTTTGTCCACTACTTTTTTACTGTTATGTAACTTGCACTTCCATTTCATGTATTCTTTATATGTTATGTGACATTTGCAATAAATCCAATAAATAGGAGAAAACAAAAAGATGTGTATGACAAATTTTTATTTACCTTTTAGATGTAATAGTGAAATGAATGCTAACTAGACTCTAGACTTTTTACATGCTCCAAAAAAATTACTCTTTAAATGAACTTAAAATAATCATGGAAAGAATTTCCATGTGATTAAATTGCTTTCTATTAGCATTAAAGACTTGTGTTCAACTCAATTAACTTAAGCTGGTACCAAATTTAGTAAATTAGTTGGAGTAAACCTACTGAATTGAGTTTGAACAAAACTCTTTAAGTTGGATCAACACTATTAAAATATATTGGATCAAAATGCAGTAAATACATTGATTCATCAATCATTAATTAAGTTGGTCCAACTTGAATGCATTAAGTTGGAGTAACAGAATTGCATAATGCTAAAATAAAGCAATTTAATCATGTGGAAATTCTTTCCATGATTTTTTTATGTTCATTTAAAGAGTTATTTTTTGAGTGTAGTTGGTGAGGCCCAGTTAGAATGTATAACTGCATCTCTACCAGTTTCTGTGCACACCAAGCCCGCTATGTTCCATGTGAAGGGATTTTTTTAATTAAGGCAGGAGAAATTATCTCCACGAAAAGGAACAGGTTTGGCCATTGCACAGTGGAACAAATTTTCTTCTTAAATATAAATGGAAAAGGGTTACCTTAAATGCATCATGTTTTTAATTTGCAAGTTCGTAAGCATTTTCCCTTTCCAGTTCACAATCAATTCTACCCCCAGGTCAAAAATATGTATAGGAAAATTTCCCTAATGTAATATTATTTATAAATATACCCGTCCGGCGATTAACTGCATAAGTACATGGAGGCGGGACCTCACAGCAGAAGCATATTCCATAATGTGTTGTACATTATTATATGTATATTATATGTAATGTGGTATTTTTCAATTATTGTATTTACCAACATCAAGAAGTCACAAGGAAAGAAAGACCACACCATGGTGCATGTTTAAACAAGGAAAGTTTACTGGTCAAAATTATTTATTAAAATAATAAACAACATTTTTGTCACCCCAAAAAATACACGTTTAAAGCAACACAACGGTGGCCCAATATCAGATAGAATTCCACTCTGTAGAGTGGGCAATCATTACGAAGCAGTTGGTTTTATTTTGTGGATTCAAGCTGCTCTTCATATTTTTGGCCACCAGATGTCACCAGAGAG